ACCTTTCTCTCTGGCTGCCCTTAGTATTCTCTCCTTTATTTCAACCTTGTTGAATCTGACGATTATGTGCCTTGGGGTTGCTCTTCTTGCGCTATATCTTTGTGGTGTTCTCTGTATTTCCTGCAATTGAGTGTTGGCCTGTCTTGCTAGGTGGGGGAAATTTTCCTGGATGATGTCCTGAAGAGTATTTTCCAGCTTGAATTCATTCTCTTCGTCACATTCTGGTACGCCTATCAAACGTAGGTTAGGTCTCTTCACATAGTCCCACATTTCTTGGAGACTTTGTTCATTCCTTTTTGCACTTTTTTCTCTGATCTTGGTTTCTCATTTTATTTTATTGAGTTGATCTTCGACTTCTGATATTCTTTCTTTTGCTTGGTCAATTCGGCTATTGAAACTTGTGCATGCTTTACACAAGTTCTCGTATTGTGTTTTTCAGCTCCTTTAATTCATTCATATTCCTCTCTAAGTTATCCATTCTTGTTATCATTTCCTCGAATCTTTTTTCAAGGTTCTTAATTTCTTTGCATTGATTTAAAACATGTTCTTTTAGCTCACAAAAGTTTCTCATTATCCACCTTTTGAAGTCTAATACCGTCATTGCATCACAGTCATTCTCCATCCAGCTTTGTTCCCTTGCTGGTGAGGAGTTTTGGTCCTTTCTAGGAGGCGAGATGTTCTGGTTTCCAGTGTTTTCCTCCTTCTTGCGCTGGTTTCTTACCATCTTTGTGGATTTATCCACCTGTCGTCTCAGTAGTTGCTGACTTTTCAATTGGGTCTCTGAGTGGACACCCAGATTGTTGATGATGAAGTATTTCTGTTACTTGGTTTTCCTTCTACCAGTCTAGCCCCTTCACTGTACAACTGCTGAGGTCCACTCCAGGCCCTGCTTGTCTGGGTGCACCTATAGCAGCTGCGGAACAGTAAGGGATGCTACCAGTTTCTTTTTCTGCTATCTTTGTCCCAGAATGATGCCTGCCAAATGTCAGTTTTGGATATAGAGGGGTCAGGGAGCTGCTTGAGGAGACAGTCTGTACTTTATAGGAGCTCAATTGCTGAGCTGTGAGCTCTGTTGTTCATTCAGGGCTGTTAGGCTGCTATGTTTAATTCTGCTGCAACATAACTCCTGAAAAACCCTTTTTTTCTCAGATGCTCTGTCTGGGGGCGGGCGGTTTGGGGCTTTCCTTGTGCGTGTCCACCGCGCTGTTCTGCCCAGTTAGGAGGCTGTCTAGTCACTATTTGCCTGCCGAGGCTCCACCCTGCTGGTGTGAGGTTCACCCTGTTGCTGCAGGCTCTGCCCTTCTGCTGTGGTCTCCACCCTGCTGCCACGGGCTATGCCCTGCGGCAGAGTCTCTCTGTTGTAGCGGGTTGCCTCGGCAATGGCAGGCTGCGTCAGCAATGGGCGTGTACCTCAGTAGGGGCAGATTGCCTCAGTAATGGCGGACGCCCCTCCCCCATGGAGCTTCGGTCTCAGGGAACCCCTCCATGGGGAGCATTTGAAATTGCCGTTTTGTTTGTCCCACTGTGCTACCCCAAATGCTGTGACCCTGGAATCTCCTGGGCTGGCTCACTGTCCAAGTCCCGTTCAGTGTCAAGTTCAGCCCTCCCAAGTCTCAGGTTGCCAGCCCAACAAGGCACCCGGATGAGCGTCCTTTGTGCGGAGCGCTGTGTAGCGCCACCACAGTGCGGGCCGCCGCCACACCGGCCGCCGGCTATACCAGCCAAAACCTCTGCCTGGCGTCCCGCATCTCCTCTATACCTAGGAATTTCCCCATTCTGTGGGCAACAAAGATCCATCTGGAAATGCGGCCCTGACTCACCCCCTCCACGCATTGACCACGAGCTTCAATCCTGGGTTGTTCTCAAAGCGCCATTTTGAGTCCTCTCTGAACCTAGTCCCTTTTATGATAGTGATGGCAACAACAACAAAAACTTAACCTTTTAGGATATTTCACCTCCTTGGTAACCAAGATGAAAGATCTCTAAAAGGTGAACTACAAAGCACTGCTGAAGACATCTTTCATTGGAAAAAAGGAAATCATAGATGACACAAACAAATGGAAATATGCCCTATGTTGATAGATTAGAAGAATCAATATATTGAAAATGACCATATTAACTAAAGCAATCTACAGATTCAATGCAATTCCTATCGAAATGCTACTTTCATTCTTTATAAAATTAGAGAAAGTACTTCTAAAATTCACAGGGAATAAAAAAAGAGCCTGACTAGTCAAAGCAATCCCAAGCAAAAAGAATGAAGCCAGAGGCATCACAATACCAGATTTCAAACCACACGACAAGCCTAAATTAACCAAAACAGCATGGTACTGGCATAAAAGTAGATACATAAACCAGTGGAACAGAATACAGAACCTAGAAATAAAGCCAAATATGTATAACCAACTGACCTTTCACAAAGTGTCCAAAGAGATAAACTGGGCAAAGGACACCCTATTCAATAAATGGTGTTGGGAAAATTGAATAGCCACGTATAGAAGAATGAAAGTGGATCCCTATCTCTCACCATATATAAATGTTAACTCAAGATGGATTAGGCCCTAACATGGTGGCTTCTGTCTGTAATCCCAGCACTTTGGGAGGCCAAGGCAGGAGAATGGCCTCAACCCAGGAATTCAAGACCAGCCTGGGCAACATAGTTAGATCTTGTCTCTACCAAAAAATATTTTTTAATTAAAAAAAAGATGAATTAAAAACTTAAATCTGTAACCTGAAACCACAAAAAAATCTGGAAGAAAGTGTAGGAGAAAACTCTTCTGGACACTGGCCTAGGCAAATTATTTATGACAAAGACCCCAGAACTAAAAGCATCAAAAACAAAAATAAATACATGGGACCTAATTAAATGAAAAGGCTTCTGCACAGCAAAAGAAATAATCATCATAGTAAACAGACAACCTACAGAATAGGAGAAAATATTTGCAAACTATGCATCTGACAAGGGACAAACAAATCAGCAAGAAAAATACAAATAATCCCATCAAAAAGTGCACAAATGACATGAACAGACACTTCTAAAAAGAAGATGCACAAATGGCCAACAAACACAGCTAAAAATTCCCAATATCACTAATATTCAGGGAAATGCAAACTAAAACAACAAGGAGATATCATCGTATTCCAGCCAGCATCCTCATTATTAAAAGGTTGAAAAACAATAGAAAGATGTTGGTGCAGATGTGGTGAAAAGGGAATGTCTGCTCATACATCGCTGATGGGAATGTAAATTAGTACAACCTTTATGAAAAACAGTAGGGAGATTTCAAAGAGCTAAAATAGAGCTACCAGGCACTCCAACAATCCCCTATTGGGTATCTACCCAAAGGAAAATAAATCATTACATCAAAAGACACCAGCAAATGTATATTTGTTTATTGCAGCACATTTTGCAATTGCAAAGATATGAAATCAACCTAAGTGTCCGTCAACCAGTGAATGGAATAAATAATATGTGGTATATATACACCGTGGAGTACTACTCAGCTGTAAGAAGAATGAAATAATGTCTTTTGCAGCAACTTAGAAGGGACTAGAGGCCATTATTCTAAGTGAAGTAACTCAGGAATGGAAAGCCAAATAAAAACACAATCTCATTCATAATAGGGAGTTAAGCTATTCATCCATGTAACCAAAAACCACTTGTATCCCCTAAAGCTATGAAATACACCAAAATTCTAAAAAAGAATAAAACTGTAGAAATTTTTAAAAAATTACTTTGGTTTTAGAAAAGTGGCCAGTTCATGCTCTATTGGTTGGACTGTAAATTAACACAAACGTTCTTGAGAAAAATTAATATTGATCAAAGATCTTTTTTAAAAAGTTCCTGTATTTCAACCTAATAATTCTATATTGGATAATTTATTCAAAGCAAACAGTTTAGAAATGTGAGATTTATATAAAAAATGTTATGGGCTGGGCATGACGCTCATGCCTGTTATATTAATGACTTGGGAGGCCAAGGCAGAAGGAATGCTTGAGGTTGGGAGTTGGAGATCATCTTGAGCAACGTAGTGAGATCCTGTCTCTACAAAAAACTTAAAAAGTTAGCCAGGCATGGGAACAGGCACCTGTAGTCCCAGCTACTTAGGATGCTGGGGCAGGAGGATGAAGTTCAAGGCTGCAGGGAGGTATGATCACACCACTGAACTCCAGCCTCAGGCACAGAGTGAGACCTTGTGTCTATAAATAATAATAATGAGAAAAGATGCTCCTTATATCATTAATTATAAATACAAAATAATTTCAAAACTCAAATTGCAATTCGTTAAATGAATAACAAGATTTCATATGGTGGACTTCTACATGGCCATTAAGATTGCAAAGAATATGCATTTATTTATTAGCAGAAGAGTTCACAGTTAAAATAATTTATTATTTCCAAGAATTTCATGTTCCACAAGACCAAGAAGGTTTCTCCCATTAATCCCCAGAAGGCAAGTCAGAAATTACAAAAATTCTAATATATTATCTCTAGTATAAATATTTCTTTAAAACTAGAATGTGGCACATATATACCATGGAATACTACGCAGCCATAAAAAATGAGTTCATGGGCCGGGCGCAGTGGCTCAAGCCTGTAATCCCAGCACTTTGGGAGGCTGAGGCGGGTGGATCACGAGGTCAACAGATCGAGACCATCCTGGTCAACATGGTGAAACCCTGTCTCTACTAAAAATTACAAAGGAGAAAGAAGAAGGAAGAAGGAAGAAGAAGAAAGAAGAAGAAAGAAGAAAGAAGAGAGAAGGAAGAAGGAAGGAGGAAGAAGGTAGGAGGAAGAGGAAGGAGGAGGAGGAGGAAGAAGAAGAAGAAGAAGAAGGAGAAGGAAGAAGAAGAAACTAAAAAAAGAACAAATTAAACCCAAAGCAAGCAGAGGAAATGACATAATAAACATACGCGGACTCCGGCGCACCAGGCCCAACCACAGCTTCTCGGCTTAAGCACCTCCACTTGCAGCACCGATTCTGAGGCCACCTCCAGCAATGGCCTTTGCAAATCTGTGGAAAGTGCTCATCAGTGACAGCCTGGACCCTTGCTACCGGAGGATCTTGCAAGATGGAGGGCTGCAGGTGGTGGAGAAGCAGATCCTTAGCAAAGACGAGCTGATAGCCGAGCTGCAGTTCATGGGAACAGAGCTGAACGGAAAGATCCTGGGAATTCTGGGCCAGGGCGGGATTGGGAGGTTGGTGGCTACCCAGATGCAGTCCTTTGGGATGAAGACGATAGGGTATGACCCCATCATTTCCCCAGAGGTCTCGGCCTCCTTTGGTGTTCAGCAGCTGCCCCTGGAGGAGATCTGGCCTGTGATTTCATCACTGTGCAGACTCCTCTCCTGCCCTCCACCACAGGCTTATTGAACAACAGCACCTTTGTCCAGTGCAAGAAGTGGGTAAGTGTGGTGAACTGCGCCCGCGGAGGGATCGTGGACGATGGCTCCCTGCTCCCGGCCCTGCAGTCGGGCCAGTGTTCCGGGGCTGCGCTGGACGTGTTTACGGAAGAGCCACCATGGGACCGAACCTTGGTGGACCATGAGAATGTCATCAGCTGTCCCCACCTGGGCGCCGCACCAAGGAGGTGCAGAGCCGCTGTGGGGAGGAAATTTTTGTTCGGTTTGTGGACATGGTGAAGGGGAAATCTCTCACAGGGGTTGTAAATGCCCAGGCCCCTACCAGCGCCTTCTCTCCACACATCAAGCCTTGGATTGGTCTGGCAGAAGCTCTGGGGACACTGGTGCGAGCCTGGGCTGGGTCTCCCAAAGGGACCATCCAGGTGATAACACCAGGAACATCCCTGAAGAATGCTGGGAACTGCCTAAGCCCTGCAGTCATCGTCGGCCTCTTGAAGGAGGCTTCCAAGCAGACGGATGTAAACTTGGTGAACGCCAAGCTGCTGGTGAAAGAGGCTGGCCTCAGTGTCACCACCTCCCACAGCCCGGCAGCACCAGGGGAGCAGGGCTTCGGGGAATGTCTCCTGGCCATGGCCCTATCAGGCGCCCCTTACCAGGCTGCGGGTTTGGTCCAGGGCACCACACCTATGCTGCAGGGGCTCAATGGAGCCGTCTTCAGGCCGGAAGTGCCTCTCTGCAGGGGCCTGCTTCTGCTCCTATTCAAGACTCAGGCTTCCGACACTGCAATGCTGCCTATCACGATTGGCCTCCTGGCAGAGGCAGGCGTGCGGCTGCTTTCCTACCAGACTTCACTGGTGTCAGACGGGGAGACCTGGCACATCATGAGCAACTCCTCCTTGCTGCCCAGCCTGGAAGCATGGAAGCAGCATGTGACCGAGGCCTTCCAGTTCCACTTCTAACCTTGGGGCTCACGGTCCCCGCCTCTGGGGCTTTTCTGAAGAAACCTACCCACTGTGATCAACAGGGAGAGAAGATCCACATTCTTGGGCTGAACACAGGCCTCTGACACTGCTTACACGGCGCTTGTCTGACCCTGTAGTACAGCAATAACCATCTAATAAAGACCCTACCAGTGGCCGGGCGTGGTGGCTCAAGACTGTAATCCTGGCACTTTGGGAGGCCGAGGCGGGTGGATCACGAGGTCAAGAGATCGAGACCATCCTGGTCAACATGGTGAAACCCCGTCTCTATGAAAAATACAAAAAATTAGCTGGGCATGGTGGTGTGTGCCTGTAGTCCCAGCTATTCAGGAGATTGAGTCAGGAGAATTGCCTGAACCCAGGAGGCGAAGGTTGCGGTGAGCCGAGATGGCACCATTGCACTCCAGCCTGGGTAAACAAGAGCGAAACTCCATCTCAAAAAAAAAAGACCCTACCAGCAAAAATAAATAAATAAATAAAATAAACATATGCCATGTTTGACATTTGCATCTTCCCAGAACTTAAGTTTATGTTAAGTTTATGCTGAAACTTAATCACAGAGGTGATGTTATCAGAAGGTGGGGCTTTGTGGAGGTAATTAGCTCATGGGAACCAAGCCCTCATGAATGCGACTAGTGCTCTTATATAATAGACCCCAGAGGGCTCATTTACCCATTCTGCCATGTGAGGACACAGGGGGCAAAAAGGGATCTATAAACCTAGAATTGGTCCCTCACCAGACACCAAATCTGCATCATCTGGGTGTTGGACTTCTGTGAGAAATCTATTCTGTTGTTTATAAGCCACCCAGCCTATAGTATTTTGTTACAGCAGCCGAACAGACCATAACATCAAAGATGAAACCAATAAAACAGAAACACAATAGGAAAAACATCAATTACAACCAAACACTTTGAGGAGGTCAAAAAAAGTGATAAAGCTATCTAGTCAGGTTGATCATAAAAAAGAAGATGCAAGTTACTAACTTCAGAAACATAGTCATATGACATTTTATAGATTTGAAAGCTACTCAAAGAATAGCAGCATAATAAGGTCAGCTTTGTGTGACTAAACATGACAACTTTGATGAAACGGACACTTTCCTTGAAAAATAAAAACTACGACAGTTCAATCAAGAAGGAATAACTTGAACTGTTCTATATCTATAAAAGAAAATAAAGCATAAGTAAAGCCTTCCTAGAAAGAAAATTCCAGGCCCAGATAGCTATGTTCTGGTGAATTCTACCAAATATTTAATAAGTAATACAACAATTTTCCTCTCCCCTAGCCCTGAAAAAGAAAAAAAAAGGAGAAATACAACTCATCCTGTCACTCTAGCATTACCCTGAACCGAAATCTGACAAGGATATTACAAAAAAGGAAAACTTCCTCGTGAACATGGACATAAAAATTTAACCAATTTCTGAAGAAACCAAGATACCTTCCTTTAGGTGACAGAACCACCTCTGGTACAGTCATGCAATAATGAGCTATCATGTCATGGGAAGACATGAAGGAACCACAAAGGCATATTACCAAGTGAAATATGCAGTCTAAAGGCTGCACATTGTATAATACCAATTATATGACATTTTAGAAAAGGCAAAACTATAGACAGTAAAAAAAAAAAATCATTGGTAGCCAGGAGTTGGGGAAGGTGGGAAAAGATGAACAGATGAAGCACAAAGGAGTTTTGAAACTCTGAAACTACTTTGGATAATACTACAATGATAAATACATGTCCTTATACCTTTGTCTAAATTCACAGCAATTAAGACACCAAGACTGAACTCTAACATAAACTATGGACTTTGGGTGATTATGATATGTCAACTCAGGATCATCAATGAGATCAACTGTACCACTCTGGTGAGGGAGACTGATTGTGGAGGCTATGAACATGTGTGGGGCAGGTAGTACAGGGATAATCTTTGTGCCTTACTTTCAGTTTTGCTGTGAAGCAAAAACTACTCTAAAAGATGGTCTTCTAAAAATTTCTAAATAAAATTTTGGCAAATCTAATATACTAGAAGGATAATACATCATAAACAAGTGAGGTTGATCCCAAAACATGGGGTTGGTTTGACATCAGTTATTCACCACATTAACAAACTAAAAGAGAAGAACCATCTGACCATCTCAGTAGATATAGGCATTTGATAAAATACGACATTCATTCCTGATTTTAAAAAATTTCCTCTTAGTAACTAAAGAATACAAGGGAAGGCCATCAGCATGATAAAGAGCATCTCTGATAAATCTACAACTAACATGCATCATGATGAAAAACTGAATGCTTTCCCTGTAAGATCAGGAACACAGGAATGTCTCCTTTCAGTATTTGAGCAGCAGTGTACTAAAGCCAGTGCAGTTAGGCAAGAAAAAAAAATAAAAGCTATCTGGGTTGAAAGAAGAAGTAAAACTGTCTTTATTCACAATTATGATCACATAATAGGGACAAGTAAAATCCAACCTGTGGGGAAGCTTCTTATTTTTACAAATAAAGTTTTATTGAAATGCAGCTGTGTTTTTAAAAATATATTTTATTGCACTTTAGGTTCTGGGGTACATGTGCAGAACATGCAGCATTGTTGCACAGGTACACATATGGCAATGTGGTCTGCTGTCTCCATCCCCTCGTCACCTATATCTGGCATTTCTCCCCAAATTGTCCCTCCCCAACCTCTCTACCTGCACTGTCCCTCCCCTATTCCCCCTCAACAGACCCCAGAATGTGATGTTCCCCTCCCTATGTCCATGTGTTCTCATTGTTCAATATCTGCCTATGAGAACATGTGGCGTTTGATTTTCTGTTCTTGTGTCAGTTTGCTGAGAATGATGCTTTCCAGATTCATCCATGTCCCTACAAAGAACACAAACTTAATCATTTTTATGGCTGTACAGTATTCCATGGTGTATATGTGCCAAATTTTCTTTGTCCCATCTATCATTGATGGGCATTTGGGTTGGTTCCAGGTCTTTGCTCTCGTAAACAGTGCCGCAATGAACATACATGTGCATGTGTCTTTAAAATAGAATGATTTAGAATCCTTTGGATATATACCCAGTAATGGGATTGCTGGGTCAAATGGAATTTTTGTTTCTAGGTCCTTGAGGAAGTGCCACACTGTCTTCCCCAATGGTTGAACTAATTTACACTCCCAGCAACAGTGTAAAAGTGTTCCTATTTCTCCACATCCTCTCCAGCATCTGTTGTCTCTAGATTTTTTAATGATTGTCATTCTAAGTAGCATGAGATGGTATCTCAACATAGTTTTGATTTGCATTTCTCTAATGACCAGTGATGATGAGCATTTTTTCATAGGTTTATTGGCCTCATATATGTCTTCTTTCAAAAAAGGTCTGTTCATATCCTTTGCCCACTTTTAAATGGGTTTGTTTTTTTCTTGTAAATCTGTTTTAGTTCTTTGTAGAGTCTGGATATTGGCCCTTTGTCAGATGGGTAGATTGCAAAAATTTTTTTTGCTCTGTTGGTGGCTGGTTCACTCTAATGATTGTTTCTTTTGCTGTGTAGAAGTTTAATTAGATCCCATTTGTCTATTTTGGCTTTTTGTGTCTATTTTGGCTTTTGGTATTTTAGACATGAAGTCCTTGCCTATGCCTATGTCCTGAATGGTTTTGCCTAGATTTTCTTCTAGGGTTTTTTATGGTGTTAGGTCTTATGTTTAAGTCTTTAATCCATCTGGAGTTAATTTTAGTGTAAAGTATCAGGAAAGGATCCCATTTCTGCTTTCTGCACATGGCTAGCCAGTTTTCCCAACACCATTTATTAAACAGGGAATCCTTACCCCATTGCTTGTTTTTGTTAGGTTTGTCAAAGAGCAGATGGTTGTAGATGTGTGGTATTGCCTCCAAGGCCTCTGTTCTGTTCCAGTGGTCTATATCTCTGTTTTGGTACCAGTACCATGGTGTTTTGATTACTGTAGCCTTGTAGTATAGTTTGAAGTCAGGTTGCATGATGCCTCCAGCTTTGTTCTTTTTGCTTAGAACTGACTTGGCTATTCGAGCTCTTTTTTGGTTCCATATGAAGTTTAAGGTGGTTTTTACAGTTCTGTGAAGAGGCTGTCATAGGTAGCTTGATGGGGATAGCGTTGAATCTATAAATTACTTTGGGCAGTATGGACATTTTCACAATATTGATTCTTCCTAACCATAAGCATGGAATGTTTTTCCATCTATTTATGTCCTCTCTTATTTCCTTGAGCAGTGGTTTGTAGTTCTCCTTGAAGAGATCCTTTACAACCTTTGTTAGTTGTATTCCTAGGTATTTGATTCTCTTTGTAGCAATTGTGAATGACAGTTCATTCTTGATTTGGCTCTCTATTTATCTGTTATTGGTGTATAGAAGTGCTTGTGATTTCTGCACATTGATTTTGTAACCTGAGACTTTGCTGAAGAAGCTTATCAGTGAGGAGATTTTGGGCTGAGACAATGGGGTCTTCTAAATATACAATCACGTCATCTGCAAATAGAGACAATATGACTTCCTCCTTTCCTATTTGAATATCCTTTATTTCTTTTTCTTGCCTGATTGCTCTGGCTAGAACTTCTAATACTCTACTGAATAGGAGTGGTGAGAGAGGGCATCCTTGTCTAGTGACACATTTCAAAGGGAATGCTTCCAGTTTTTGCCCATTCAGTATGATATTGGCTGTTGCTTTGTTAATAAATAGCTTTTATTATTTTGAGATATGTTCCGTTGATACCTAGTTTATTCAGAGTTTTTACATTAAGGACTGTTGAATTTTGTTGAAGGCCTTCTCTGCACCTATTGAGATGATCATGTGGTTCCTGTCTTTGGTTCTGTTTATGTGATGAATTATGTTTTAGATTTGAGTATGTTGAACCAGACTTGCATCCCCAGGATGAAGCCTACTTGATCATGGTGGATACACTTTTTGATGTGCTGTTACAATCAGTTTGCCAGTATTTTATTGAAGATTTTTGCTTCTATGTCCATCATGGATATTGGCCTGAAGTTTTCTTTTTTTTTTTTAAGAGAAGGAAAAATAAAAAGGAGTGAAGAAGAGGAAGAAAGAGGAAGAAAAAGAGGGAGAGAGAATGGAAATGTTGCTTTATTCTAAAAAAATGAATATTAATAATGGCCAATCCATATTTCATTTA